ACTTCAGTCTATGTAAACGCGCTATCTTCCGCTTGAATCTGCTCTCAACATTCTCATCATCATTCTGCTGTTTATCCAAATGGGCAACCAAAAGACAGCAACCAAAACCGGCTCACGAAAGTGCATGGTTGATGGTTACAAGAACTGAACTGAGCTGAACTGTTGAAATGCCCCGCCTTTCTAAAAACAAAACTACAAGCAGCTAAAGGTATGACAATAAACGAATGATATATACACACATATATATATATCCTCTTGAATACTTAACTTATACATAAACATATTTCACGTATTGCTATTGATTAACCGTTGAACTATGGGACTGCAACTCGCTCCCATACCCGTCAGAGCCTCACTAAGTGTAACCTGAGAGCACCTCATCAGCTGATTTGCTCCGACTTTGACTCGGGTTGGTTGTCCCATAGAACTGTCTTACGTGCTCTGTCGTGTTCTTGCGTTATTCACCAGCCCCTTCACTGTCGGTAATCAATGTGAACCAATTATGGACCAGGGTCACGTTTTGCCGCGTCATGTAATTTGCATCACACGCTTGTGTGATACAGTAGCTTGATATCGTGCTGCTCACGTTCAGTTCAGCCCAGTTTGTACAACCATTAACCTTGCACTATCGTGCACCGGTTTTGGTTGCGGTCTTTTGGCTGCCCATTACGATGAGGAATAGGAGAAAGACAGGAAAGTTGAAAGTAGAGTCGAACAGGACATAAGGAATTTCAGTGATCTAGTGTTACAAAGAAATTGAGATGCACGAAACTCAACCATATCACTCAGTGTCTCTAGCCAACGAGTACGATCATCCCGAGCTCCCCAACCAGGGAGCCTAACGGGACCTAAATGACCCAATACCCTGGTTAGGGATTTCATACCCTAGCGCTGCTCACATTCATATATCTTCTGACACGGCTCAGTTCAATTTTCATAACCATCAACCATGCACTTTCGTGAGCCGGTTTTGGTTGCTGTCTTTTGGTTGCCCATTTGGATAAACAGCAGAATGATGATGAGAATGTTGAGAGCAGATTCAAGCGGAAGATAGCGCGTTTACATAGACTGAAGTTACAAGAATAATGAGTGGATGCATGAGCGTCACTGTTTGCGACACCCAGCCATATCGCTCAGTGTCTCCTGGTCAGGGTTTTCATACCCTCATGCCAGGTCTTATTTGGACCGTCCTTCATTTTTTCCAACAGCTACTCACCGTAGCAACCTGTTTGGTGACATGCGTAACACATGTCCCAACGAACGTATTTTATGGAGGTTGACTACTTGCTCCAGTGGACGACCGTGATTACCTAAAACTCTGCGCCTAACCTCAGCAAAGGTCGTCCGGTTACCCCACCAGACTCGTGCAATGCGACGTAGACAGCGGTGTTCGAATACCGACGATCTATTTTTATCTGGTTCCCGTAGTGGTCAAGTCTCTGAACCGTAAAGCAGCACTGACCGAACAGCTGCAGCATATACTCGATCTTTCACAGACAGCTGGATGTTGCGACGGCTCCGCAAACGTCTGAAGTTGTCTAATGTCAATCGAGCCTTCTGACTGCCCGGGGATACTTTATCTGTGATGCGTCCGCCGGGTGAGATGTGGCTGCCCAGATAACAAGACCTGTCTACTTCCCCGGTTTGGGTTGGGGACTGTGCCAACCCTGTCTTAAGGTAGCGTCTTACACTCTGAAGGTGCAAGACGCATGCCGAACATGGCTACACTAGCACTCAATCTATCCAGAAATGCTTGCAAATTACCTGGATCTTCACTTTTGACACGGAGTGCTCGTTAAAAATTAGCAATATATGCTCACTCAAATTACCCGGTGTTTTCCATGATTTGAATGGTGACTGATAGCTTCTCTAACTCAGAATAATTTGTACGCTGTAAAACATATCCCGCTGATAGTAGTGAAACTCTTATTTACATTGAATCGGGTGGATTTTTTGCTGCTGTCCAATAATCCCTTCCCCATGAATTCTACTGCTTTCATTTTAATCATCGCATAATTTATTCGAGTAATTTCGATAGGGAAAAATAAACGGCAGTTTTATTGATTTCTCACTTTAAGCTGGCAAACAAGGTTCTCTTTTGTGACCACGTATCGGTCTGGAGAGCTTATCAAGTGCTTACTGTTCGTAATAGGTACTGTCAATTGAAGTACAATACGGTCTACTTGCAAATACAAACCAACCAATGGTGAGCCTAAACAACTCGTCCGCTGTATCCTTTAGGACAATACTGAGAGAAGCACGTAAGGTAACTAACTTGCTTGTTGCGAAATCGAGTTTCGTGTCGTTAGAGAGAGAGAGAACATAAGGACAAAGTGTTTCTCGAATGTGAAATCACGATGTTTCCCTTTGATCAATGTCCATTTGATTTGTCNCGTCGAGTAAGTTTCCGATTTAGCCCACTTCAGTTTTCTTCAACTTGATCCAAGCTTTAGTGCTACAAGTTGGTCTTACAACAACCACTGATACAAGTACATTTTTTTATACAGTCTGGAAATTTGTGATCTGGTTTGTGCTCGATGCAGATTTTGGAACGCATCACGTTTCGTTGTTGNTCGCTTTTGGTTGTGCAAAATCCATGTTTCACGGATCATACCGTTTTATTGCACTCAGTGGCGAGCTTCAATGCTTGGAGTAGCTGCAGCCTGCACACTGAATTTTGTTAAACTGGGATTGAAATTTCGTTTTCTATGCCACCATTACGAAGGTCACGTGCTTCCCGTGGTATTCTTTCGTTTCTTCTCTGTTGAATTCCTTCACCTCACTGAATTTGCAACCTGTTTTTGCAGGTTCTGGTTCATTCCTTTGGGAGTCCGGTCCATGGTCCGGATCCTCCGGACCCCGCGGTGCTTCGGTCTCGTCGGATATGCAGAGCGTATCCGCGGGAGCCACTTCGTCCTCTGATCGCCGCTGGCCATCTACCAACACACCAACTGGTTTCCCTAACCGGCACCCGTTTGCTACGTATCCAAACTTTTCACCCCTGGTAGACCCTATCTGGGCTGAGTTGGGCGATGCAAAAATAGGCGGAAACGGTGGTGGTACAGATGTTCATCGCTCGCCCACAACGAGCTCAATCGATCCCGTCGATTCCTCTTTAGCCGATACGGCACCCGGACCCGGATTAAATCGAACCGTGGCTACACGTGCATGGTTACTCGTCCACAACATTCCCCCGCACGTGGCTGTAGGCACACTCAAGGCGGCTGTCTCAACCGGTTTGAATAACTACTATCAAGACCAGGGAACGGATTCACAGCAGTCCGATTTTGAGCTCCATCCAAATATGTCCGCCCGGTGGGTTCTTTTAGGTTTTGCAAATGCTGCCGAGAGTACCGCAGTACAGGAATACCTGGAAAGTTCTGGTGGTACCGGTTCCAGCGGTGGTGGTGGTGGTTCTGCGAGTCAAGCAAACGGACATTACGGTGCGGTAAAATCGATCACACCTTCGGACGCACTTTTGCGTCTACAAGATATTCAGGTATAAGTTCCATCTATTTTCGTGTCTTTTTTCAGTATGAAAAATTCTGTATGTCTGCGGTCCCACCCCTATATAAGTTGCTTGTTCGTTGGCCTTGGTATTTTTCTTCCCCGTGCGATGATGTAAGATGACTTTGTCAGACAACGTTCGTTTGCACGGCATCGTTTTTTGTATTCATTTTCTTTTTACTGATTAAAAATCTGGATGGCCCTCATTTTGGGTCTCACAAATCTATTTATGGCTCGACTGGAACATTTTTTGAAGAAACATTTCAATGTCATTCGGATAGTAGTGTGATTATCATAACCAACATCTCGAATAGTATGGTACAGTCATTTGCGCTCAAGTGCATAATATTTAACACCCCGTTTAGAGGCGAGTTGAGGCTAGAATCCCATCCACCATTACTTATGTTCTCATGGTACATGTTTTTTTACTTTGCACAGTGTTCATGTGCGCTTGTAAGTCTTGAAATGCACGCATGATCAGTTGTCGCTCGGATGATGCTTGACTTTCCCCATTGTGTGTGTGTGTGTGTGTGTGTGTGTTGTATAACAGCCCTTTGATTGACCGCTTCCTCGTTCCTGAAAATTGTCATCGTATTTTCAATAAAAGGAAGTAAGAGGAAAAAGAGGTCTAAATTACTGTGGTTTAAAACAAAGAGCAGTCAACAGTTTAATCGTCAAAACCTCTGAGCCTAAGTTGAGAAAATTAGCAGCACCAGCTCAGCAACTATGTCAGCGTTTTTTAAGACCACAATACTTTCTGTTTCGGAATCGATAGATATCATCGGTAATATCTCGTCACTCGATATCCAAGATTACTGTCGTTTGTCACCGATTTCCCCTTCATTCGTACCCATGGAACAGTACCCTATGTTGCTTGCCATGGAGGAATTTTTCAAACCTTTTACGTTTCAATGAGAACAACTAGACAACTAGACCGTTAGAAAGTAATCCCTAATCGTACAAGTGCCGAAGTTATTCCTTTGATAACTATCAGTCTTAGTGTATTAAGCGTACTCAGCTTCTTCTTCTTTCCTGTTTTCTCCATTGATCGTACTTTCTTACAATAATGCCATCATCCTATATGCTAGTTATTTCGGGAAGTGAACTATATAAAGATATAGAAAAATCTCCGTTGTGGAAATGCTGCATACGGTTGGGTGACACTGTGCGGATCGGAATTGACTGAAACCACGGATGCGATGTACCAGATAAAAGGTGTGCGCATACCGGAAGTAATATAAAACGATTACTGTTTAAATACCACTAACTCCCTCCCTCCCATCAAAGAAAGGGTTGCAGAATGATTCAGTTTGTTGCAAAATTGAGTCACGGTCAACTTCTGTCGGTTATCTTTACGCTCCCTTTGTCATGGTGTTTCACAATTGTATTCGAATATAAAGCATTTAGTCTTAAGCGCATCACGAATCGTTTTACATCATAGTTTGGGGTTATTCGTAATTTAATTTATTTAATCAAAGGGGATTCTCAAATATCAGCCCAACAAAGAGCTTGTACTGAACATTTTGTACGTCTGTTTGACGTATATTGGCTGTTACATGTTGATATTTTCTCTGTTTCCCGTTACAGTCGTTGGCCTCGCTTATCAAGGGCCTTGGAACGGATAATNGTCTTAGTGGTATGAGCCCCGGGACTCCGGTCGACAATTTGGAACTTTCGCTGCACGTTCTTCAACAGCGTGAGACCCAAATCTTGCAAACCATTATGCAACTACATTCCAAGCATCAGGAGCTGAACCAAAAACTCACTCAAATCCGCTCGACTAATATGCCATTTGGCACAAACTCCGTTCTACAAGAGTTACAGTTGCAAGCCTTCCAAGTAGCACAACAAATAGATGCTCAGCATGCCCAGTTGAAACACGTACGCAGCCAAGTGGACATGCTCAAGCAGATCACGGTAACGTCGATCGGCCCAATATGACTTCCGGTGTGATCCCTTCCCCACTCGGCACGAACAATCTGACCGCAAGAACATCGAACAGTGCTACAACCACCCCAACCAGTGCTTTCAATCTATTATCCCCGCCTAATGCATGGCCATCGTCCATGGGACCAGTCACGGGAGCGGACGCTGATCCTCCGTCCATCGATCCATCCCTAAATCCAAATGTCCTCAGGGTCTCATAATGGGTTCTGGTTCATTCCTTTGGGAGTCCGGCCCATGGTCCGGATCCTCCGTACCCCGTGGTGCTTCGGTCTCGTCGGATATGCAGAGCGTATCCGCGGGAGCCACTTCGTCCTCTGATCGCCGCTGGCCATGTACCAACACACCGACTGGTTTCTCTAACCGTCACCCGTTTGCCACGTATCCAAACTTTTCACCCCTGGTAGACCCTATCCGGGCTGAGTTGGGCGATGCAAAAATGGGCGGAAACGGTGGTGGTACAGATGTTCATCGCTCGCCCACAACGAGGTCAATCGATCCCGTCGATTCCTATTTAGCCGATAAGGCACCCGGACCCGGATTAAATCGAACCGTGGCTACACGTGCATGGTTACTCTTCCACAACATCCCCCCCCTCGTGGCTGTAGACACACTCAAGGCGGCTGTCTCAACCGGTTTGAATAACTACTATCAAGACCAAGGAATGGATGCACAGCAGTCCGATTTTGAGCTCCATCCAAATATGTCCGCCCGGTGGGTTCTTTTAGGTTTTGCAAATGCCGACGAGAGTACCGCAGTACAGGAATACCTGGAACGTTCTGGTGGTACCGGTTCCAGCGGTGGTGATGGTGGTTCTGCGAGTCAAGCAAACGGACATTACGGTGCGGTAAAATCGATCGACCTTCGGACGCACTTTTGCGTCTGCAAGATATTCAGTCGTTGGCCTCGCTCATCAAGGGACTTGGAACGGATAATTCTTCTTCCGGCAATGCTTTGCTGAATTATGC